GGTATCGGCCGTGGCGGAAGCGGAAGCGCGCCATGGCGTCGGTGGTGCTGAGCGAGGCGGAGAAGCTCTACATCGTGCACGGCGTTCAGGTAGCGGCTCTCTTCCCCCGGGAAAGGGGGTCTGGTTGGGGAGGATTCGCCTTGCGGCGGCCCCTCGAGCGTGAGGGGACAGGGCGGTGCTCGGACCGCCCCAGGAAAGACCCCCAAATCGCTGGTTCTTGTCTTTAGGAGGACCTTCGTGTAGATGGCCGCGGCTGCGAGGACTACAGGTGTGCTGAGGTGGAGACAGATGTTGTATCGAACACAAGTGGATCTGCGAGAGTGAAGCTGGTGGGTAATTGTGTTCGGCTGGTGTAGGCTTCTGAGTTATGAGATTGTATTGATAAGCTAAACCAAAACTGGGGGGGGGGGGGTGTGCATCCACCCATCACTAGCTGAAACTATAGTCCCTTAAGGTAATAATGAAGGGCTACATAATATACTTGTTGAGACTGGCTTCATTGACTTCAACTGCGTTTACTGTAAAGTATGTTTGGAAAGCCCGTTGTTTAAAATAGTTTACAACTTAATCTTGGGAAAAAATGAAATCACTGTTATGCCTAATCACTGTAAAAGTAATTACTTCTTTTGGAATAGCACAAGGCTACTTCCAGCGTGTTTTGACTTGGAAGAAAACATCCTTTGCAATGTTAAAATGTTTTTCCAGCTGTAAGTATTCCCAGAACCAAAACAATAAAAGTTTGCAGATACTCAATGTCTTATTAACACAAAGAAGATTTTATACATATATATATATAAATAATAAAAAGTTTGATGAAACTTATTAAGATTTAACATTGTTCTCTTAAAGTGCATGTTAAAAACTGAGTGTGTTTTTAAGCTCCCTGTAGTGGAATGATAAGTGCAAATAACTGAGAGGTAAAATTGCCAAATGGCTGTAGGTGTCCAAATTAAGGAAGTGAATATATTTCCCCTTGTATAATATGTCTTTTGTGTTAACAGGGACACACTGATATTTTGGTAGGCGTAAAAGCTGAAATGGGTGCACCAAAGTTGGAGAAGCCAGATGAAGGCTACCTGGAATTCTTTGTTGACTGGTTAGTACACTAAAGGAGAAGAAAAAAACATGTAATATTTGGAATAAATGGCTGATCAGACCTTTACTATGCTTTTCAATTTTATATCTCAATTTTACCAACCTGCTATTAGGATCTGAATAATAAAAGCATGCTATTCTAGAAGTGGAGATGGCTCAGAAAGCTTATGCAATTTCTGCAGAGTCAAAATGAGCAAAGAGGTAGGAGTTAAAGGATGAACCAGGTTAAATAAAACCACGCTGAATTGCATAGCATCACTACAGCAGGAAAAGATTAATAGCTTGATTATGCCTGTATTTAACTTGCCCTCATGGTTGTAATGGTCACTGCAAATGGAGTAGTAGTTGTCCTTAATCCTTGTAGTGCTTAAATTATGAAGGAGGGTAGAAGAATATTGGAAACTTCTGTTTTCAGGTTGCTTTGAGATAGCAAGGTGACACCTTATCACAGACCGTTTTCTGTCTGAAAGCACAGCATCCCTGTCTTGCAGACTTCCTAAAGCTCTCCTTCTTCATGAAATAATGCTTTTTGAGGACCTGCTCATGAAAGCCTTATCACTGACACATTAGTTGTTCTGCATGTGACTTTTCAAAATAAGTTTTCAACTCTGACACTAGACCAATATGCAGATTATACACATCTGCATGTGTGAGAGCCTCTAAGGAAGCAAATATCTGGTAGTATTCCTCATCTAACTGGCTATATCACCCTTACTGTTTGTCTGTTTCTCTCATTATGCAAACTGATGTAAGATGCCTCTGTACACTGCAAGATGCTGGTTCCCTCTGGAACCTGTGTTTTGTGGAGGGAAGGTTTTACCTGTAAATTAATACTTTGTCTATGGCTACTGCTAGAGAAGCATTGGACAGGAAGAAACCCTTCTCAAATGCAGTCCTGTTGCGGAAGGGAGCTCGATTTGACTGTGCATTATAAAACTTCTTTATGTCCTGCATTGTACTTCCTTGCTCCTGGTAGATTGGATGTGAATCAAGTCAAAGGCAGAAAACTTCGGCCCTGCTCCTCAGCTCAGCCTTGCACTAGTGTCATCCCGTTACTGAGCCGGGTCTGCCAGCAGAGCCCTTCATGTCTGGCGTTCAGGTGGTGGGGCTGGTCAGTGGCTCAACAGGGACAGCTCTGTATACAAACAGGTAGCCTGTGGTATGAGGTCATTTTTGTGGTGCTACTTTCACGTGTAAATGAATCCTAGGAGAACTTCACCTCATTAATGTCAGGTTGTATTTCGTAGCTGGTAATCTCTGCTTCTCTTAAAGTGGTGGTGGGGAGATGTGCAGTAATGTTGTGCACCACAGATCTTGTCAGATGTATAGATGCGTAAAGCGGTCCTCACTTTCCATAACAACACAAACTAAAGCCTGAGTTTGGGGGAAGTGACTACCCTTATATAATAATTATGTGATCAGGGAAAGATCATCCCTAGCTTCCAGAAATATCCTGTGGGTAAAATGTGATGTTCTGTTGTCACAAACTAACTGTTTGTTGCAAGGGAAGTGAGATGCTGACAGTACAGTAACTGCTGGTGCTTTCCCAGGCTGCCACTGGGTGGTAGTAACTGAGCAGAATTTGATGCCCTGCATTCGATGTTGAAGTTGTGCCTCAGAGATTCTTTTATTTCATGTTTCAGTTATCATTTGTGAAGTAAATAATCATAATGGTTGGAGCCACAGATGAGAAGAACTGAACTGCTTTGAACAAAATGTATGATCTGAAACAAAACAGCAAGAGTTTTGAAAGGAGAAACCTTTAGTGGAAGTATCCTGCTTTAGCAGGAGCCTAGATTAGGCAATGGGAAACTGAAACTGTTTGAATTTTTTTTAGAGTTATATTCTCTTTGAAAGCAGAAATTTTGTGCTCTACTTGGCCACTACTATGCTCTTTATGTTCCATAAAACTTTTTGGAATTTTCTTCTATTAGCGTGCTAAGCAACCTTTTTTTATTATTATTTTTATTTTTACCCAGTGTAAATCACTAATCTTCTATGAGCATAGGGTGGCAGTATTTACCATGTAGTTGTTTTAATATTACCCTGCCAACTTTTTTTTTCTTTATTTCCCTTTGAAAGGAACCTGATACATTAAAACAGTAATGGAATTAAGGTGCACTAAAACTTGCAATGATATCCTACTGGAATCATACCAGCTGGCAAACAAACTGGCTATATGTCCAAAACTACTGTATTTCATAATAATGTGGTATAGGCTGAGGTTTGCATAATTCTTAAATTATTCTTTGGAAGCGTAATGCTTGTATAACCGTATTTCAAACAGAACAGTTTAAACAGAGCAGTCTTGTTGATTTGTATATAACCTGCTTCCATGGTTTAGTGCTTGTTTAATACAACCTAAAAGCCAGACTTAGCTGTATTGCCAAAATTATTAGGATCATATCTAAATAATATTTACCTTATGGAATTGGAATCTAATCTTGCACAACTACAGATATTAGTAGTAGTGTCACACTTTCAATAATCATTAAGGTAGCAAATATAATTTGGAAGCATAGATCAGAGCTTGAATGGCAAATTTTTGTTTCACTTTGTTCCCATCTCCCTACCACCATCACTGTGTTTAGTTTGTCCCTTCTATCAGCAGACTGAACTAACTCTTAGAAAATCCATGTACTCTTCCTGGCTTCCTGAATCTTTACCAGTTCTGCAAAAGTGTAAGTTAGGAGACCTACCGAGGGCAAGAATTTCCCTTACAGATTCCACAATCTGGTTAATATGACTCATTTGATTGCTATAAGACATACATAACTAATGTGGATCACTGGTATTATGGGGAATGTTTGTTTGTTTTAGATGAAGGGCTATATTCCCACAGTTTGTTCCCTGCTGTGTGTTTGCATTCCCATGGAGTTCTTTTTGGAAGAGCAAGGGACAAAATATGCATGAGAAATTGATGCTGGGTGGTGCCCAGCCAGTGGAATTCAAGGTTTTGCTATTAGAGATTTTGAACACATCAAACTGCTTCTTGGGAGCCATCTGTTCTACACAGTCCTGTAAAGCAAGAGGTCAGGCTAGTTTGAGAGTAAGATCTGCAGGAGCTCGTAGAATGCTCTTACCCTCTCTGTAAACTAGAGAGATTCAGAACACTTGATTGTTATTTTGTGTTTTATGTGTTTGTCATTTATGTGTTTGTCTCATTTCTGTTCTACTTCATTGGAAATTGAAGAGTTTTTTCTTTTTTTTTGTATAATCCTGTTATCTTTTATTGATTAGAAATTTGTTCTTAGCTCAGTACAGGGCCGTGGCACCCAAAGGCTTTCTTGCATGGCTGCTTGTAAACAAAGTTCATTTTGTTGGAAATGGGGAAGTGAAGACTGCACACTTTTGTCCATTCTGTTTTCATTTTTCTTGGGGGGATGAGGAGGGAAAATGTCCTTTAGTGGGTGCTTTCTCTAAGCTAAATTAAAAAAGATAATGAGATGCTTTTGGACAGTAGCTTGACAGCAGAGAATACATTCATTAACAAAATTGCCAAGTAAAGTCAGGCAGTCATGTCACTTTTTTAAAAAATAATTTAAAAAAAAAGGCATCCGCTTGTCATATTGTCACATCTTCCTCTTCTTATCCAATAAATTGAATCTTCATAATGTAACATTCGTCTTTAACAGGCTTAACTTATAAATATTTTGGATTTTTTTTTCCTTTGTGGCATGAGGTGAGAGATATAATTGAAGATAATGCTAAAAAATAATCTTTAAGACAACACTCAGTGAATTCTAACTTGGGAACTACTACTGACAATAGTAGAATTGAATATATCTATGTGCTGTTACCAACCTAGGTACTAATTAGCTGCACTATGATACTGTTATGCAGAATGGTGATAATTTCTTTACAGATAGTGTGTTTATGCTTGTGTAAATAAATTCCTAGCTATTCTTAATATTTAATAAATGTTCTTTGGATAGCAGTTGCTTCAGAAGTGATTTTTTTTTCCCATTCTCTGTCTAGTTCTGCAAATGCTACTCCTGAATTTGAAGGCCGGGGAGGAGAAGAGCTTGGCACAGAGATAGCAAATACCCTCTACAGAGCGTTTAGCAGTGAGAGCTGCATAGATTTGAAATCACTTTGTATTAATCCCAGAGAGCACTGCTGGGTTCTCTATGTTGATGTTTTGGTAAGTAAGGAAATAAAAATGAAAAAAGACTCAAAGAAGTCTTCAAGGTACTAACTGAATTCACATAAACATGTATATTGTCATATTAAAAATGTTTCTCATATAATGCAACATAATGTTCACAGCATGGCCATCCTCTTGAGAATTTGCTTAAAAGAGTTACTTGCCAGATGTACTTGCAGCACGTTCTTTTAGTCTTCTGGAGACCGTGGCTCCACTGCAGAGGTGAAGAACCACTGAATAGTCTAAACGTGCCTTAGATTAAAGATTGGTTAGTTTAGACTGATGAAGAAGTTACCACTGAAGAAGGCCAAACTGTTCCAAAGCTAGGCAGATTCCAAGAGCAACTGTCTCCTGCTAAATGTAAGTGAACACATGTAAGCGTTAGGGTAGCATCACTTTCCGTTATGTCTACCTCTTGACGCTGTTATTAATCCTAGTCCTCATGCAATAAATGAGAAGCTTTTCTGACAAGAAGGTAGATTTGACTGACTTACTTTTTTGATAGAAATTGAGTGTAAAGTTTTGTGCGAGTATGGAATGCACAAAAGAAACTGATTTTTTTCTTACTAAAAAGATGAAAATTAAACTTTGTGCATGCAAACTTTGTGCATGCAGCAGCTCAATTCCATGCATATTTAAAGCTTTTTGTCATAGGGATTTAAAATAGAAGTCTGGGAGTCAAAGACTCTCCTCTCTTGAGGTTTATTTCCAGCTCTTACTGGTCCGAGACTGAATTCCCACTTATCAAATGTGTAAATAAAACTGTCAAGGAATCCTACTTGGTGAAATCAGTTAATGTCTTTGAAGTGATTTGTAAAACGATAAGATGCATTGACAAAAACATCAAATACAGGGTTTTGTTAAACAAAACAGAAACAGTCAGACTGAGACCTATATAAACTTGAAAATGTGTCCATTAGGCTTTTTGAAAAGCAGTAGCATTAGCCTAATTTTAGTGGAAGCAGTACATACTGTGATTTAGTCTGCATACAAAACAATAGACATGCTGTGCTAATGCATATGCATGCTAATGTTTTGAAATATTTGCACTGTTTTCTAAATAGATTTATATTGCATATACACATGGTTCAGAGTGTTTATGCTGGATACAGGTGCTTGATACTTATAGATTTTCCTCAATCTTTTTCTGCCAAATGCTTGTCGTGTTTTAATATGGAAGTATGATGCTTGTATTAATTAAAAATATTTTAAATTACTCTCCATCCGTTGAGGTAGAAAGCTTGATGAGAGTCCTTTGGATGAGGTTTTCCGTCCAAATTGCTAGAAATGACTCACATGAGTGCTTATGTGCATAGTTAAGTTAAGAGGAAAATAGTCCTTAAATCTCTCTCATAAGACTTGAGAATATTGGTATCTTGTAGTCAGATAAAAAGATAATAATTTTCATATCTCTTGCCCTAAAAGACAAAAACTTCACAAGAGTGCTGTGAACCTGGTGTATTCCAATTCTGTGTATTTCAACTGTACAGTTTCATAGAAGCATCCACATTCAGCTCCTATCTGTAAACAGAACTTAAGATATTCATTCTCAAAATAGAAAGCAATATACTCTAAACAATCAGGCAGCTTATAAGCTAAAAACAATTCTCAAATACTCTTTTAGTGGTCAGGGTATTCAAAAGGTGGTTTAATTGCATGTATTCATGTGGGAGGTACTCAGAATGGAAAGAAGATAACTTCAGCTCTGTGCATGCTCATGTGGGCTCTGGGCTGCTATTCTGCAATGTGCCTTGTACTTTCAAAATAAATGTATTATCTTTTTTAGTAATAAAAGAGGGGGTCACTTTCCTGTGAGCAGCTTGTGAATATGGAGTATCTCGTACTGCAAAACTACAATCTGTTATCATCCACAGTCTCTTTCTTTTTTTTTTACCCCACACTCCCCATTTCATTGTTCCAGATTTCAGAAATAGCTTTGGGGAGTTTTGTCATGGTGTGTTTGACACACATAGAGCCTTGTTCACATAAATTGCCCCAGCAGTCTGCCATGCTGAGCAGGGAGAATTAAACTAGTGCAATCTCGCTCCATTCCTCCACCCCTTTCCAGCACATTTTTGTGTGTGTGTGAAGAGAATTGCTAGATTTTACTGAAATTTTAGTAGTTCCCTGCTGAGTACCCTTGAGAGGATTTCTGTTTTTTTTTTTTTTTTTTTTTTTTTTTTTCCCTCTTCCCCCTGTCTGAAAAAATATCTTAGGGAAACCTCTCCTTTTTGAGGAAAGACTTTATTTAATGAGATGCCTACAATGTTGTTTTCTTTCTTGCTACCCTCAATATTTTTCCTAGCAGTAGATTAAAAATGTGTCTTTAAAAGAAGACTCCTTTGCTTCCTGCAGTTTGAATAGCTGTACACCCTTTCTTCCCTTTTTCAGAAAAAAAACGGGAGGGGGGTCCCCAAGCACCATGTGCTTCAGCCAAGAAGAGAGTGTTCGTTCAGTTTGGAGGAGTTGTATCATGCTTCATACAATAGGTCCTTACCCTATAGGCGCCACTGCAATGTGGATGAGACTTCAGAATAGCAGCTTCAACATAACCTAACCCTAGCAACAGTAAAGGCACGTCCCATTATTGTGTTTGAGTAACAAAGATATTGTGAGTTTATTGCATTTTTGAGTAAAATCCAATAACTACTGAAAGGGACAAGTTAGCCTCTCTGTATCTAGCAGCAGTTTTCAAAGGAATAATTTGATCACCTTTGTATTCAGCTTTCTATCCTAATTTTTTTCTTCTACTTCTTCCACAATTTAGTCTGGTTTGTTCCCATTAGGAGAGTTTACCTCGTTCTTAAATGGGCTTTGAAGAACAATCAGTTTTGCAAAATTACTTTGCTCTCATCACAGACAGCAGATGGATGTAACGGAGAAGCATCCGTATATTCTTGCCGACACAGGTCCGAGTGCTCGCTGGGGCTTTGTGTTCACATGCGCACAGGCAGCGTGGAGTGGGGCTTGTCAGACACCTATTGCCTGGCTTTGGCCAGGTACATTTCTGAGTTATCTATCAGCTTGCAGAAGGTATTAATGGTTGTGGGAGTCGTGCCTCTATACAGGGTGCAGTGCTAGTTCTCTTCCTCTGGCTGTTCTCCTGATGCCAAGGTGCGGGGAGGGAGAAACAAGCTAGGCTCCCCTCTAAGGCTTTATCCAAAATATGTTATTGTCACAAGTGAACCTTGAAATAGGATTTCCTTAGACCTTTTTAAGCTACAAGAGAAACCTCCTGATGAATGCTTTTGCAAAGAAGAATAGTGAATAAATCTGGATGTACCTATACAAACCTATACATTGTATAATCAGCTTTCTTTATTAAATAATTCCATGCTGTACAGCTTGTGATTTTTGCATTATTACTTTGAGAACAGTGGCATTGGTTGGACTTGTCTAGGTGATATTTGAGAAGATTTTTCTTTGAAATGAAGAACACCAAACTAATTTTCTTGATGTTGATCAAATTTATCAAAAATATTCTAGTCATCGTCTAGTTCACAGCCTTAGCACAAAGAGGAGGTTGAAACTAGCAGTTTCATTTCAGTCTCTGTTCTGAAGTGTTAGCATGGATACATGCTCTATCTCACCTATTTTGCATGAAGCTGACACACGTAGCATTTGTTTTCATAGATAGATTTTTAAACACAACTTTTAAAAATATGTATATTTTCTGGTTATTGTTTTTATTCCTTTTAAAGTAAATTTAAGTAAAATAAAATTTTGATGTGTAGGCCCTAGCCATACCTTCTTTTAAACAGATTATTTTTTTGCTCCTCAGTTACTGGAATGCGGTGGGAACCTTTTTGATGCGATCTCTCTGGCAGTGAAGGCAGCTCTCTTCAACACAAGGTAAAGCACAGATCTTCTTTCATTTGGGTGGAAGTGGCATAGAGAAAATGAGAACAGTGTTTTCTGTGAGCTAAGCATCTTTAATTTCTTTTAAAAGAAGTCAGAAGCAACTCTCATTCAGATGCATGGCAGTTTGTTTGCATGAATATTGCATGAGCTAAAGAAGTTTATCCAGTTTCTGATAATCTTCACCATTAGTTATATGCTCAGTTACACTCAGACTTGTAGCTAAGTCCTTGCCCCTCAAAAGCTTATGCTGGCCGTAGGCTTGATTGCAAGTTGATGCTTTGTGGTCAGAAAGTCATCATATCTACAAGTATGTGATGATCCTGAATAAGAAGGCCTCTGTCAGTACAACTACCAATGTATAACTATAATTTCCCATTTGTGATGTTCTTTTATTGTTAGGCCACAGTTCTTTGTGAAGCTAAGGGAAAAAATGGTGATGGGAGTTTGTGGGAAGGAGGAAGTGGTGTGCCTTTAGAATGACTGAGGTTCATGTGTTTTGGTTCAGGGAATGGAAGAACAAAATGAAGTAGGATCACTGAAGTAAGTGCTCTGTGCATTTCGAGGATAGCATCCATTAAAATATTTTTTCTGATGTTTTTATTTTCACTATAGATGAAAAGGAGTTCAGAGTTTCACAGCATCTTTGAGAAAGGAGCTAGTGAAGGGCTCTGAGAAATCTTATGTAGCAAAAATACGAGCTGCACATGTTAGACTGTTACAAGCCCAGATGTTCCAAAGCGGATTTCACGTCATTCCGCAGCTCTAAGTCAGAGCTCTGCGGAAGTCCCTGGCACAGTTCTGACTTTCTCATTAGGGAATCAGTACACAGCACTGGAGCTGGAAAAAAACATGCCAGAAAGAAGAGAAAAATATGCTTTTGAAGACACAGGCAGTATGTCAGGTCATAGGCATTTCAATTAATGAGGAGAGATTCCTCTGAGACTAAAACTTGTATATATTGCTCAGAAACTTCCCACGTTAGTCAGGTGCTCAATGGTACCTTTTAACAGTAGATTGTTTCTATAGCATTAAGTGTTCTTATGTATGCAATAATTCCCAAAGATGTGAAAGTACACTGAAGGGGGAAGAAGAAGTAACATCTTTGTATGCAAGCTGCCATGATACAAAACTCACAGTTAAAGCAGTTGCTTCCATGTGGTTTGGTTTGCGGGTCCAAGACACTTATGTTATTTACATTATTTACAATATAATTGAACCTCTTTCCTTGCTTTAACCAGATTCTTAATAAAACCAGAATACTTAATAAAAACAAAAGAGTATATGAAAAAAAATGTTGCTGTTGGAAGACAGATAACATGGACAGTGATTGTTTTAATGATCTGCTTAATTTTGTTTGTTCCAAAAACTGTCTCCTATATAATCTTTGATTTGTAGACACACATCTTCAGTCTTACGAAAGTAGGCTATCAAAATGAAATACTGTGCAATTTAAAATAACTTTAAGCTTGTTGACTTTGACCTGCAAGAAACCACTCTGTTCACTTAAGCAAGAAATGTTTGTGTGACTAATCTTGAAGTGCTTTAAGAAGGCAAAAAAAAAAAGAAAAAATTAATGAACTCAGAAATTTAATGGAATTTATGAAAGTGAAAAGCCTCATCCACTATCCCCACTTTGCTTTAGTATCTGCTGAATTTCCTCTGGATTAATACAAGGTTGTTTAGAGTAGCTGTCTACTCTTCCTAAAATATTATTGTCCAGTTAAGGCTTCACAGAATAATTATATTTTAAAGATTTATAATCAATTTAAAGATCACTTCAGATTAAGTGCTTTGAACTTAGCTTGACATCTCTATCTTTTTTTCAGAGTCCTACTTGCTCTTCATAGTTTGTTTACAACCAGGCTTTTGTTACAAGGGTTTTCAAATCAGAACCAGAAGCAGGGAGTTCAGGCTGCTGTGAGGTTGTGCTTTATTTTGTGCCTTGAAGTCCTAACTTTTTAGTTTTAGTGTTCAAATGGGCATTTGAAAAGCTCAGCATCATCAACTTGGTCATTGAAATCTAGCTCTTACCATTTTACAATATCCAAAGAGACACACTTCCTTAGGGCTAAATAAATGCACTTCAGGAACTTTACATAGGAATTACGGGATTTAAATCCATTGCATTTCTGCCCTGACTCATTGTGTCCCATTGAGACCTGGAGCAATTAAAATATGGCTGTTTTAAGGGGGAATATTTAATCTTCATAATTGTCCTTTGCTCAAGATGTTCTAAAAACTGAATTAAAACTGTGTCTGAGAGGTAGCAGATACCAAAATTTGTTCTTAACTATGTGTCTCCAAAGCACTTAAGGCTGTATTTATCCATGATCAAAGCAGGTATTGCCTAAATATACAAATAGCTTCAGTTCCAGGACTTAACATTAAACTCAGGCCTGTGTGGTGTGCTTAACTGGGGAGATAGAAACTAGATAAAGGCCAAAAGCTACCTAGTTTTTAACAGTATAAGTAGGAAAGCTGGGTCTCCAGAGCAGTGTTCAACTGCTGCACAAATTTCTGCACCCATTAGTTGTGGGGTTCACGCGTGCAGAATAAACATGCACAGCTAGTTTTTTTCCTTAAGATAATTTTTCACAAACCATGAAGAAATCTCAGGATTTCTGGGAATGGTCCTTATGCTACAAACACTATCAGCTTTGCCCAGTAGGATCCTTTGGTTTGGGGTGTACGTCCCCCACTTTGCTATGCTCTCGAGACATTTGTATTTGATCAGGTATCTTTCTGCCTATGCAGTAATTCTGATCCATGCATTTATCTCTTCCATTTTTTGCTAAAACAGCTTCTTGCAGGGATTTTTCAGGTATTAATTCTGGCAGCTTAGGATGCTATGTCCGATTGTTGCAGAGCATGTGTTGCTCTGGTATCAAACATACGATATTTCTTCATCTTCCTTTCAGTTTTAATACTGCTTTGGCTCATATTTTTTTGCCTAGGCTGTTGGCCATTGGCCCATGTAGCTTGAGGGTTAGTCACCTTGAGATTTTACTCCAACAATTTTAATGGGATATTTTAGTTTAAGACTAGGGTTTGTGTTTCTGTTGAGTTCTTATATAGTTCTACAAAGCATTTTGAGTGTCATTTCATGGAGAAGTTTATGATGTAGTTGTTGTTCTTACAGAAAGCTTATAGCTTGGTTTGGGTCCACAGCATGTAGAGAATTTGTCTTTCTCCTTAAGCAAGATTAGCTGTTGTGAAGTGCTTGCCTCAAGGACTCTTAGCTATGGATAACTGAAATACTTTTTCAGGGAATAACAAAAATCCATTTCCTTTGGTGCAGATAAAGTTCATTAAATCACTCCCAATATTCTTCTCTCTCAGGAAAGGTCTGGTTGAGAATGTGTAAAAGAATGTAACCTCCAGAGTCTAGTTATATGACACAATTCTACTGTAAAAGTACTAATATAGAAACAATTTGTGGTTGCCTTCCACAGGGTTACTGAAGTTGGCTTTCCAGGGATGTCTTGGAAGTATTTTATGTTCTCAAGTGCAAATGTGTAAAAGTGGGAGAAGTTTAGCTGAGCTCTGTGTGTGGATTTACTGGCCAGTAAGGCAGAGTGTCTGGTCTGCCTATCCCTTTTGCCAGTGGATGCAATGCTCTTCCTGGTGGACACTTGGATTTCTCTGCAGCTGTGACAACTTGGGGTGGGAAAGGCAAGTGACCATTTAACAAAAAATGGGATACAAGATCCTGGAGTTCTTGGCTTCTTGAAATACCATCTACTGCTAAATTATTATAAGTGTTTGTATTCATTATGCTAAGAAAGCTGTATCAAATCTCATGCAGAACTGCCATTAAATGGCTATAACGTGCAGGGTATTCACCACTGAGAAGAAGCCTGTGTAGCTCATAGATAAAGATCTTGACACTCACAATAGACAAGCAAGTGTCTTGGGCTTCTCTCTGGGTTTTTATCCCTGGTACTTGTTTTTGTTTGTTTAGCTCTAGAGTAGTAGAGACTTATGATGATTTCAGGAATGACAGTATGCTGCTGACCTGCTAGAGAGGGGGAATTTTACTGGTGTCATCTTTGCACTTTCCCTCAGTCTGTGTAGTTAGTGTCATCCCTCCTGAGCAGCTTTGCTGCTGGTTTTTTGGTGCTGGTGTCGTGACTTTGCCAAGCAATGTCATGCTGTAGTTCTGACAGCCTCACTGCTGTCTGCAAGCAGGGGAACCGCAGTATGAGGGGATTCCATTTTGATTACATCTGCTATTTGCTAAGGAAGTCTATGCAGAAATAATTCAAAATTGCAATGTATAAGCTCTGAAAGGCAGCACTGAATCTCGATTTGCTCCCCTATGACATAGTACAGAATTCAATTTAAAATCTAATGCTTTGAAAGATGCATATAGATGATGAAATATTTTCCCACTTGATGTTTACGTGGGCTCAGGGGGTTAATTGTTAATCCTTTGGTAACATTCTAGGTTATTTTTTTCTTCTCACATTTCACCTTGTTTAGAGAAAAGGACATTTCTTGGAGTTGAGACTTACAGGATGCCTGTATTCATTATCTGTTCCGAGAGTGATTTTTTTTTTTTTTGCATGTACTTTTGTTTCCATAGAATACCAAAAGTGCGTGTTTTGGAGGTGGAAGAAGGCTCTAAGGAGATTGAGCTCTCTGATGACCCCTACGATTGTATTCGACTCAACGTGGACGAGGTGCCCTGCATCGTCACGCTGAGCAAAGTAAGCTGGACAGAACTGGGCCTTCTGCCTGGAGACTTCAGCCCACATGAGCTTCAACTGCTCTGTGGTTTTCTTTAGAGATAAACTGTGAATTGCAGAAATGAGAGGTGTCCAGGATGTGTATGTATTTGTTCAGCCTTGCTGCTACTTTGATTAGAAGGAGCTTTTTCTGAATAAGGGTTTTCTTATTCTGACTTGCAGATTGCCACTTCATGCATTCTTCAAATCCCTTTTTGCCAACAGAATTGTTCGTTATGCATTCATCCTCATTGCTCAAGAGGCAGAGCAGCAGATACTTCAGTAAATTACAACAGATGAGAATGGTTGTGAGCGTTGAGCAATCTGTCTGGAGTCACAGAATGGACATATATTGCTGGGGACACAGCTCTGTGTTTATGGGCGTAGCACTTTCTTTTCCTTTCACCCTAGTGCCATGCTTAGCTCACCTGAGTTACGTACGTGCACCCAGACTGGGCTCAGAAGCTGCTCTTGAGGACTGTGCTGTCTGTAGACTCAGCCTCTCAACAGCACCAAGGATCATGCAATGTTGCAGTGCAGGCTGGAGATCAGCTAGCAGAGTTGGCTGCTGCTGTCAGCTTCTCCAAAAGAGCTTAGATATCTGCAAACTAACATGTAACCTTGTCACTAACTTGCAGATTGGGTATAGGCATGTGGTGGATGCCACCCTTCAGGAAGAAGCCTGTTCTTTGGCCAGCCTGCTTATTTCTGTGACCAGCAAAGGTGCTCTCACTTGTATGAAGAAAGTGGGGAAAGGCAGCCTTGATCCAGAGAGTATCTTTGAAATGATGGAGGTGAGTTTTGAGCAGTTTCTGTCTTGGATGGTACTGAACAAACTGGAACTTGAGTCTATGGAAAGCTACAATAAAGACTTCAGAGCACCAGCAGTTCTGCTAGTGCACAAAGGGACTTGCTGAAGGTCCCAGGCAGTTCCTTTGAAACAGAATCTCATAGGAATGGAAGTTATTTAAAACTTTCCGTATGCCTAAAACGTGTGGTTTACATTAATGCATACAATTTTCCTTTGCTGTGGTTAAGCACCTCACAGCTGTAAAGCATAGGTTGATAAACTTTAAGACATTTTTAGGGAATGTTTCTTCCCTTGTTTTTTTTTTTTTTTCCCTGAAAATCAGAGAAGATAGGGAAACGTCCCTGTAGAACTAGAGATGGTACTTCAAGGTGCTCGTACATTACATTCTGTTGTAACAAGAACTAGAGATGGTACTTCAAGGTGCTCATACATTACATTCTGTTGTCTCATTTTGTCTTGTGATAAGCTTACTGTTCTCATTTTACTATTGTTTGTCTTTGCTTCTTTATTGAGTTTTTGATTTGCTCCTACCCCATGAAAATACTGTTATCTGACTGTTGTTCACATCCACATGAGAATTCAATTTTAAACATTTCTTCAGGCTGTTCTCAAAACTCTGAGTTCCAGTATAAATTCTCATGCCTGGCCTTGGCCTTAAGCAGTAGACAGAAATGAGTTTTGAACTTTGAGTCAGAACAAAAATTAAATACTTAAAACTGTCTTTGTTTTCTAGAGATCCAAAACTAATATCAGCATAGCTCTAGTGAGGAATGCAGAAATTGGAGCCAAGCTTGAAAACAACTAGTTTCAAATGAAATTCCATGTTGAGTAGATAAGGCACTTATCTGTTTCATGCTGTAAATCCATAGTGCTAATCTTGGTGTATCCATGGGGTATTTATTTGCATTTAGTGAAGTCGTCCCCACTTAACATCTGGGTAGATGCAGAAGAAGTTCATGTCCAATCTGGCATCCTGGGGAAACCAACTGTGTCCAATACTTGTGTCTTCCTGATGGCTTTTTAGTCTAAGTAAATGTCTAACTAAATTCTAACTAAATGTCATACAGGAGTTGAGGTTTAGTCTGTACAGCTCCTATGAAGAGATGGATGTTTATGTCAGATACAGGTTTGTGGTGGAAGCTCACTCCCATATAGATCATCTGATAACTAAATGAAGAAAAATTTTAATCAGAGCCACTACTTTGATCATCTATCTCATTCCACACTGAAGTCTAACTAGGAAACAAAATACTGTAGTTTCAGGATTCAGCTGCCTCATTTTGTGTGCTGACTAATCTGAGTGTGGGCTTGTGTCCAGTGGGAGTTTAACTTGTACCCCGAGCAATCCAGTGGTGCTCGGATCTGGCATTAATGATCACAGAGACCCTTTCAGAAGAAGGGAAGCACTACCTTTATGCACACCTTCTTTGCAAAAAATAAATTGAGACTTACAGTATTATTTTTCTCAATTAAAGCATGTTTTTCTTATACCAGCTGGTGTATATTAATCATTAAGGGGAAAATATTTGTCAAAGGAAGTGTTCCATTTGAGTTATCTTCCTGTTAACGAGCATGTCTCAGACTTGTTTTGCTTTCTTTGTATTGCAGACAGGAAAGAGAGTAGGCAAATCATTGCACACATCCCTACAGAAGATTTTGGATGAAGAGGAGAGTTTGGGAACCACACGGCAAAAAGTTGGATTTCTAGGATGAGTTTTTATTAAATGTTCAAAGGTTTTCTAATTCGATTGTGCAATCTTGTCTGTTTTTATATGGAAAAAGGATATTTTTGTTCCAGTACCTGCACCCTTCCAGCTAAGAGGCTTCTAAAATGTTCCTAGGCCTAAGGAAAGCTACGCTGAAGTGTGAATAAGCAAATTTGTGGTGCTTTCCACCTACATGGGTGTCTGCACATAAGAAGCACGGCAAGAGCAATAGATGCAATTCCTGGGAATTGCCTGGTGTAGCCTCCAGGTGTGGGGATGTCCTCAGTGTGCAGCACAAGCCAGATTTGGGGCCTTTCAGGACTTCTTTTTTTGTTTTTGTTTCCCGACCACATAATTCTTCCTTACTGGGGTAAGAAAACTGTGTCTGGCAGAAGTCTTCCCTCAGATTATCTTATCTCTCTTTGAACTAAATGCAGTTAAGTTTTACTATAAACACAACATGGTCCCAAGTTTCCAATTTCTATTTTAAACCAAGGTTTCTTTACTAGCAGAGTCCCTTTGCCAGTGGGTACAATGGTAACATAGCTGAAATCTCATGGTCTTTCAGGAGACAGGCATAGCTAATGTAGGAGGGAAAATAAATGAATTGTGAGGAATTCAGTGATTCAGCTGGAAAAGCGCAGTTGCTGTCAGGAATGATCCTTTGCATCCTGTGCTGAGGCCAGAGCTGCGTGACAGTGCTGTCCATCTCCACCCCTGTCCTCCTGAATCCTAGGGCGTAGTAACACGGTGAGGGAATGCAGGCGTCTGCAAAGCAAGACAGTTGTATAGCTTGGAATAAGAGGGGTGCCCTTGTCCTTCTGTGACATTCTCACAAAGGCAGATTCCAAATGGATTTCATCAAAGCTAGGAAAAGGGAGAAGGCTGCTGTTCTGAGGCCATCCCCAGGCCTTCAAAGCAGTAGGTGCTCTGCCTCAATTGGCAGGTGCAGCAACGAGCAAGAGCTCTTCCTCCTGTGGGGCAGGAGGAAACAGTGAATGGGGGAGTCTGAAGAAACAGCTGTTTTTCAAGAATTCGAACAAACATTAAGGCAGAAGCTCTGTGGTAATCCAGAAGTCACTCAGCTCTTACTCAAAGTGACTTCTCAATTTCCTGTTTTAATTTCCTACTGCCAGATTAGTAAAATTCTGTTGAATGGAAGATGGGGACTGCTGGGCAGAAGGGGAAGATTCTCTGCAAAAGAACTGCAGATCTAGGACAAAACATGGTACAACTTTAAATTAATAATCACGATCATGTTAAAATATATGGTATCCTTCAGATGACAAACAGCCCTTACCCTGGAGCTAACGTGATTGTACAAGGTACCCTTAATGTCACTGTGTGCCTGGCACCTATGGGTAGCCATTATATTAAACTGTACGATGAACAGTCATATTAAAATAAATAAAAATCAATCCATAAAATTGGCATATGATGTCTGTTTCAAAGGGATTTTTTTTCAGTACTTTTCATAATGGGTTATATAGGATATGCCCCGTACTACTGTGGAGAAGAAGTGACGATGAATATGTATAATTATCTTTAAACCCTGCTACAGAGTAATTTTCTTTTGGGCAAAGACTAACTTACCAGACTCTTACAATAGCTGTGGTCTGCTCCTGTCTGGGCAAAACTACTTGCAAGAGTGTGGAAGAAAAAAAAAAAAGCTGAAAGAAGAAAAAACATTTACATTAGTTTTTTTGTTTTGTTTTGTTTTGTTTCATCATGTATTGTTTAATTTTTCAGAAAATAGTTAAGCTAAATGAGGTCTGGTCGGAACTGTTGCCTCTCTGTTGCCCATTTTACTGTAGTTCTGTGGTTGGGTACCCAAAAGCTTCCCAGCACTACCTCTGGGGTGAATGTTGTAAGGTGTTAACTACTAATCAACGTGGTTCTGCGCAGCCTTCAGCTGAATGAAGGAGCCCCAGCCATTTCCATAAGTTACTGATGATACTGTTGGCTCTATGGCCACCGGGTTTCATGGCCCCTCTCCTTTTAAAATTAAAAAAAAAGAAAATGTTTTCTGAGAGTTGGGGGGAAAAAGCCTTGCCATGTTTTCAAGGGCATTACCTGGCATCCTGGAGGAGGTGAATGTGCATGCATTCCCTCTATGTTTCTTACTAGAGGAGGGAAATACGGAGCCCACCTGGGCTCTGGGCCATGTGCTCAGGTACCTGAAAAGTGAACGGTTGGCACGTGAGCATCTGTGCTGGGCACGGGGACGTCTGTGGAGCTGCTCTGCCTGCAGAAACGGCTGCCCCAGGCACCAAACGGGGGAATAAAAACTTCCCCAGTCAGCAGGAGAGATGTCAGTGTGAGCTGCCACGCTGAAAATGTCAGCAGTGCCTCCTCGTGCCCTCCTCTCTGTGGGATCTGTATGACCCAGGGGATGTAAAGGACCTCCTGAAGGTCCTTTTCCTGCCACTTTCTGACTGGGGCTGTTTCTACCCCCAAGCTGTAAGGAGTGGGCCAAGCCAGAAGCAACAGCTTCCAGGGGGTCTCAGCAGTCCCTGGGGATTCACTGCCACCAACTCATCTCCTCAGGGAATAATCAGAGCTCTGATAGGGAGAAAAGGGCCTACAGCCGTCCCGGTCGACACATCTGGAAGCAGCCTCTGAGGCTGTGGTTCTCAGGCATGTCGAGGACTGGGCTGCCCGTTTTTTTTTCCGTTTAACCCATCCCCTCCATCCCCAAACAAAAATAGCAGTAAGAGATTTTTAATAGAGGCTTCAACCAAGACAGCTCCTGTTCCCAGTTGGGCTGGTGGAAAGTTCCATGTGTTGCTGTGCAGATATTGCCACGTTTTCGTTGACTCGAGTCCAGTAGAGCTAAGAGGAAACATCTGTGGAGCAGGATAGCTCAGTGTTTGTCCCAGAAATTTTTAATTGCTTCTGTTGGGAGCGTCGAATGGCTAAAAGTTGTGCATTAGAGCTGAGGAGTCCAGCAACTCCTCCTGGGCTTTTACTTGCATTGACATTTGTCCTTTTATTTTTTCTCTGTGTATCCCAGCCTAGGGTTTGTCTGACAAGAACAGCTTCCTTGAAGCAGAAGAGGGCTATTTTGTAGGTCTTTGGGTCTGTAATTTGCTTTCACAGGCCTCCAGATCAGTGTTTGTGCTGCAGGCGACACTCAGCAAGCCAGGGAGCCTCATCAGCTGGCGTTTTGCAGCTACAGCAGCCATTCAGCACAGTAATGGGCTAGTGTGGGAAGCAAAGGGGAATGCTTGATCTGCATGGGATTTGAGGCAAGGGGGAAGAGAGAGGCTCCATGTTACCCACATTAAAATTTTGCTTCAGCACAGCTGTTCTGCAAGCAGGTTTATACCTTCTGCTCCTAAGGAGGAGTAACCCCATGCATGCCAGGACAGGCTGGGGGCTGTTTGGACTAGATCTCCAGAGGTCCCTTCCAACCTCAACCGTTCTGTAACTCCGTCATTCAGCATCTTGATTTGACATAGATAATATCTCAGGGAGTTTCTGCATTTTCTCTGTAGTAAGGTAAGTAGGAATTAAGTGGTACTTACACTGCCATTTAGGGCTGCCTCCAGTTTTTCTATAAAACTTCACTAGACACCACCTCTTTTTTCAGCAGTGGGATTTCTTCCAAGTTCTGCATGATGCCATGCAGGTGATAAACTACCACTGGTCCCCAGAGAGGGGGCAAGAATCAGTGCAAGTTTGTGCCTGGTGAGACCTGAGGGGAGAAAGCTCCGGTCCCTACACCTGAGCCTTGTAGGCTAATTTTTGCAAAATTAAAGAACTTTAATCCCTCGTGCCTCAGTCTTCCTCTTGGTCAAGCCCACGATTCCCAGGCAGAAGGGTGCACATTCCCAGGCCTGCGTTCATTCACTGAATACTTGTTGTTTACTGAAGGAAAAGCAGATTTTCAGCTGCTGACTTTCTAAACCAAAGTCTTCAAAATGACCAAGTCTGCGATGAGTGAGATCCTGGGCTATGGTTAGGCATAACCCGTTGGAAATTCCAGAACCGGGTGGCATACCCGTTTACTTCTCATGTGGAGCTGTATTGCCTATAGGACCAAATAACAGTGAAGCAGGTCTACTGCTGAGCCTCCTCAACCATAGCTTGAGACAATGCTCCAAGTCTCGGATTCCCAGTGTTTTGCTTGCCATCGCTGTGCTCCACAGCATGGCAGCGTGTGTCTGAAGTCACTAACGAAGGCGAAGGCTAAGCAAGGTCTCTGCAGAGAACGGCAGCCGGCACCCGTTCTGCATGCTCAGGGCATGGCTGGCTCCAGGGCGCGGTAACGGGAGCCCGTGACCCACGCAAAAGCAGAAATTATTACTCCTTTTAGGCCAGTGTTCTGAGATGGTAGCACCCCAGTTTAAATCTGTCAGCCCGCAGATTAGCGATATAAGTCACAGATGCCTGGTTTTCAAGGCATCAGCAGCTCTTGCTGGTTTCAGGGACTTGCAAACAGAGAAAAGCCCAACTACGAAAGCAGGACACCTAGGTACCCGCCTTCTTGCAGAGAGACTAGTGCCTACTACCTCTGCTGTTTTATTATTATTATTATTCATAACAATAATAAACTGTGTTTCTATTATTATTAATAATAATAAACCACGTTTATAGCTATACAGCAACAAGGGCTTTTTTCTGCCCCTGCAAAAACAGTGCTAGAATCTCAACTGGGCTGCCATTAATGACTCTTCATTGATGGTTTTAAGCACAACTTCATAGACTGGAACATTTTAATAGGGCCGAGGTTATCCCAAGAGCTCTAAACATTTCTACTGTCATCCTGTTCATCCCGTTCGCAAGGTTAGGATAAGATCAGCAATGCAGGCTCCTGAAAGTTTTCATGTCACACCACTGGTAGATCAGATTTGATTTCCCCAATTTAGACACAAAAGTTCATGGTTACCAATACCTTGCAGCTGATAATTTGGGAGAGGAAAAAAGAAATGAAATCTTGGTCATTTTGTGATGTGTGGAGATCTTCTTCCACCCACTTGACATTGCAGGGGCCAACGTTTCTGGAGACAGGCCAGTCGTGCATAGGTGCTGGGCACACTCAGACAGCCAAGCGGGGCAAGCCCTCCCTTCCAAGGGACATCCCTTCTCTCACTAAACGTTCTCCCACGGCGTTTTGGCAAATGGTAAGTTTGGACAGAGCCATGCTTGGCAGCCGTAGGAGTTCAAAAGTTGTGATTTAAGTCTTCTTAGGTCTTCTGAAGTTTCTCTCCATTGCTCCTGCAGGCATCAGCTTTAATCTGATGGAGCTTCTCAAGGGCATGCTATGCACTGGGAGGGCAGTAAAAGGGTAGTAAAAGGTAGCTTTCTCCCGGCTATCTGCGCACGCAAGCTTTTCTCTATACCGAAACAACTTAAGTTTTTAAGGCTTATGTTGAAATTCTCTTGCAACCCCTTAATTCAGCTGCCACATCTCTGTGAAAGGAAACCAATCACCCAAATATGAGAAAGATTCGCAGTAAGATCCTAATCTGACAGTACTGCCGTCTGCTTGTCAGCACTAAAATGCTGACTTCTATTTCAACAGTAACTTCCGCTAATCTCGAGGTGGTTTCTTGCAGCCTGGCTAGCTGTTTTGCAAACCAACACAGTTAGGAGTTTCTACAGAGATTTACTATTAGATTTAGACATCTGGCTGCATTTTTCCCCTGTCTGGTCAGACTTTTAGGAGGATATAGATGGCAGGCACATGAAAGAAAAGCAGCGAAGGAAGACAGATTTACCCCTAGCCCGCAGGAGTCTGGATGCTCCAAGCAGAAGGGCGCTGAGTCCTTCAATGCAGCTCCTTTTGAAAAGAGGAGGATTGTGAGAGGCACCTTGCACCTGAACACAAGCTTTCCACATTAGGCTGAGATACAATTTAAAGTCCATGAATCTCTTTTGACACAGATCCTTCTGTCCTGTGGCCTCTGCAGCGTCATGGGATAGGGAAGCATTCACGTTTGCTGCAGGACGCAATGGGAAAGTCCCTCCCTAGGTTCAGAGCTGGTTTCCTAGTGGTGTTGGCACTGGGTGTAATGTTTTGGCAAGGTAGGTCTGACTCCTTCATTTTCCCCAACATTGTCCTCATGAAAAACACCCATTTCCTCAACTGTTATTGCGCTCCATCTGGATCAGCCTCAAAAACAATGATCCAGAAATTCAGCTCTTTCCATTTATACCTGTTGTGATGCTTATGCTGGTGGACATAAAGTGGATGTCCACTGAAACTCTGCAAACGCTGTTATCTAGTCCACCCTTCTACTTTCTAGCCATGGTACAGAGGCTCCCTCTCATCTCTTGGCTTGGCAATACCCACTCATTTCCTAGGAGTTGAACCAAAATAGTCTCTGATCTCGCTGCCCATTTCCTTGCCTAGCCGGGCACAAAATCACAGGTCAGCAGCGTTGCCAGAAGGATCCAGTTTCCCTCCACCGTCTTATTCCAGCCACTGTTTTGCTAACAGAAATCCCTCCAAATTCAGCATCACAGGCTATTTCTTGGGTTTCCCAAAGCCACGTAAACTTTTCTGACTGCCTCCCTTTCCCTTCAGCACACTGTTCATTCTTCACTGCAGCCCTGGGATCGTCTCCCTAAGCTTATTTTCTCTTGCCCTCTTTCATTTCAGCTAATGGGAGTTATGGTTTGTCTGGCCAGCAGACTGGTCAGGAAACAAGGAAAGTAAAGTACTGGTACTTTACTGGGAAGTGAAATTTGTAATTCCACGGGTTTAAACAAACATGGACACAAGCTGGTTCCTTGGCATATTATAATCTTCCTCTCTCTCCCTAATCCCTCCATAAATAAGCTGTCTTTTTCTTTCCCCTTGAGGTAATACCTCCTCTCCAATCCCTTTTTGCTGTCTCTCCTACTCCATGAGTAGCTTCTGTGTGTTTTTCCTGAAGGGCTATAGGCATCAGATGAAACGCTCAGCTGTTTTTGAGCTCTGAAGTTTGCTGCTTCTATTTCAGCCCTGTAAGGAAGGGGTTGTGTGCCCAAAACCTCACCTACTTTTTCCAGTTATATTACTGTATCTAATAAAAAGCATCGCTCCTACCCAGGAGGTGAGGATTACCTTACCCCTCTGTCCTCCTACGCCTTTCTTGCATAATACGTGTGAATCATCCAGAGCTCAAAAGCATTATATCTAGCCAAGGAGACAGCTTTCTTTCAGAAAAACACCGATATCCATGAGATTTAACTTGAACTGCAGTCTCCGGGCACAGGAAAAGCCCAGACAGGGAGAGGGTGGGTACAGGCCTTGTGCTCCTTTACAGAAACGTCCTGATTCTGGACGCAGGCCTGGGTGTTACAGCAGCACCTCATCGGGGTCCTGCTGGAGACTTCCTGCATGTCTATCAGCTATTAGGATGTCCAGGTTTGAGGGTTTTTTTCAGTCTATTTAAGACGGAATTGGGTCAAAGCCTATTTTCAAATATACATCACAATCAGATGCGAGCTTTAAAGTTTTTTTCTTCTCTCTTCCTTCCTTCCTTCCTTCCTTCCTTCCTTCCTTCCTTCCTTCCTTCCTTCCTTCCTTCCTTCCTTCCTTC